GATTATTGTTTAATGAAATACTCTTTTCAATATGCCTCCCACCCCCAGATTATAGAGTAAACAAAGATGGGCTGAGGGCAGGGGCAGAGATTTAATCCAACTCACACACGGTTGTGATGAGTTCCTTAGTCTGGTGACAGAGAACAAAAGGCTGGATCTTCAGTTCCCAGAATGAGGATTAGCAATGGAATAACCTTGCTGGGTATTGTCCTACAACATCAGGTCATTTTTTTTTTCTTATCAAGGCTTTTCATAGGATGATGTGTTCCAATGTATAGTGTGTCTTGTTCGGTTGTTGGTGAAATACTTACCATTTATATGTAATATTAAAAGTGGCCTTGTAAGAATGAAAAGCTAGAAACCCAGACATGACCTATTGTTATCCTATGGGTCAACCACACATGGGCTCATCTGTGTTGCGGCTTATCTCCAGAAATCATATTATGGATAAGTTGTTCTTGCCTGTCTCTCACTCCCTCCAAATGTATTAGAACTGTTTAGGTGTAGTAATCTGTCGAAGGGGATCCTTCTTAGATGTGTCCTTGTGAATTAATGCATTTATGTGACCAGTTTTTTCCTTCATGTAACACTTTTCATTCTGAGTCATTTCCTATGGCACTCGCTTACAATGGGATACCATGAATAGATTGTAAGGAAAATTAGGCATCAAACAGAAAATTATGTAAGAATATAAAAGTATTAGATTTAGAATTATATAGATATTTGTTCATCATCCTCCCTCCTGCATTAATTTTTTTCCTTTATCCTTCATGAGGCAGCAAGATAAAGAACAGTTGAATAAATCAGCAAAAGGATTGATCTTTAAAAATAAGTGGGAACAGCTTATATTTTCTGCTTGGCTTTGAGTTTTTCAAGGGCAACAGAAAAAGCAAGTGACTCCTTTATTGATTGCCCATTGGTGTCATTTTTAATAATCAAATTTAAATATAGGTTTTTAACAGCTGATGGGTTCAATTTGGACAGAACACGTGTTGACTTTCCGGATTGTTTGCTCACTGTAGACGCCGACTTGTTCTAGAGAAGGGGCTGTGAGTTGAGCTCCTTTGTCTTTAGAAGGATTGATTGACGGATGTTGTGTCTGCTCATTTACAGCATTTTTCTTGCTTAATTTAAAAAATTGTGACATAGTATTACATGTTCCTTGTATACATCATTTTTACAGAAGAAAGTTGTTTAGCCAATATGTCGACTTCGTTTATGAAATCCTCTCTTGTAGCTTTCATTCAGCCTTCAGTGTAGCCTATTAGGTCATATTATTCGTTTCATGCATGGCAAATCGTCACCAGCAGCAAAATTTAACATTTGGTCCTTTTAGGTATAAAAATGAATCAAATGCTTGACAAGATTTGTTTCTGGTGTATATTTCAGAGCCCCCCCACCCCCTTGGTGGGCAGACGACAAATGTTACTAACGGGTACTTTTAGTTTTTAAAATATGGACAACAGTACTCCATGCAGTAAAAGACTTGAGCGATTAATGCTACCCTTATGCCTCTTTTGAGTACTGTTAGCCATGGGGCTTGGCACTGCCACCGTTGTCTTGGTGCCAGAAAATATCCGCAGCGGCTGTCGCATTCTAGTACCGGAGGCTTGTCTCGAAAATTCCGCAGTGAACGCGCCGGGTTTGTTCATCACTGCTATCTCTTTTAAATATTGGAAAAATAGAACCTTGAGCTCTTTCAAAGCTCCGTTGTGATCGTGGGGATGAGGGGGGAGGTTGGTGGCGAAGAATGGAGGAAAGAAGCTGTCCGCGCCAGCCAGTGGGTATAAGTGACAAAAATCCATGCCTGGCATAGAGTAAACACACATATTTAGGAGCTTTTGTGTTCACGAGCACAGATAGTTACTTAAGGATCCTACTTAAACATGTTATCAGCACTCTTGAGAATTTTATTATCTGAAACAAATGTTCCTGAGCATTTTAAGCAGAAGACTGACATCAAGATCATAGCTAATTTTTAGTGGACTGTTTATACAAAAGATGTATATATATTTTTCTCCCTGGAAGTGAGGTGCCATTGTAAAATGGCTGCTTTTTGTCATTAGGAAATTAGTGGAGTAGATAAGATAGGCTTGAGAAGGTGCTTGGGTTTACCCACAGTCCATGTCCCTGATTGTTCTGCTCCCAGACAGGGATTTGGGCTCTGAGGACAGATTTATAGTTGATTTTGGGAACAAAAAGATGTAATAAAGTTAAAGGTTTACACTGTCAGAATGACATGCGTTCGCTCAGGATCTCTGGAGCGATCTATTTGATGGTAAAAGTGGATGCCACAGATGAAATCTTTACAAGGAATATAATCCTTTAAAAAAAAAAAAAAAGGGAAAAAAAAGTGCACCTCCCAGCCTCCTGCTGGCTGCACTGCCTCTTCGGTACCTCACAGACTTCGACAGAGTCCTGGACGGGTGCCCACTGATGTCATGGAAACACTCAAATTACTGAGAATGATTCATGTCTATGCTGGTCTCTTGTCCTCCCCCACACAAACAGGAGTAGATTTTTAACCCTGACAACTTGTAATTTGCAGTGGGTTTATTTTTGTATCTGGATAAATATTTTTTAACAAGCAAAATTAAGATTAAGCAGTCTGTATCTGATATGATAGTAAAGAATGCTGGGTCCGTGCAGCCAAGAGCACTTTGGGGACTCTGCCGCCTGCGTCCCTGCTCCGCTCTTCCCCGCCTCTGCTCTCTGCCCGCCCCTGTGCTTTCCAGTCCACTCTCCCTCCCTTCATCTTCCTCTTTTCCTCTCTCTCCTCTCCCCTGTTTATCTGTTCACATTCTCTTTCTCTCTCACATCCTTACTATTTGCACGGACCCCCCTCTCTGCCTTTAAAAGAATGAAAGGAATGGACCTAACTTTATATACGTGTGTGTATGTGTGTATGTATGTATGTGTGTGTGTGTATATATATATATATATGAATTGAGACAAGTCCTGGTAGGAAAATTCATCTCTACAGGTCTATATGCGGGAGTCAAGTTGGGAAATAATGCCAGGTGATGAAATTCTGTAGGGGATAGCTTCAGTAACTCCTTTTAGAGAAAGCAGTAGATCACCTTTCTTCCTTCCAGTATCTGGAAGTCACCAGAACAGGACACTAGATACTCAGTTTCCTTGGAAGTCAGAGTAAATTCTACCTTCTCTCTCTCTCTTTCTGTCTCTCTGTTTGCATGTCTGCCTGCCTCTCTACTTGTCTTTCTAGTTGCTATTATGTCAAAGTAAATCATGTCCTGGTTGTATTAAAGCTTTGTAGATGTGAGAGCTTAAGGAAGGACAGACATCATTTGATAACTCAAGTTTTTTTTTTTTCTGTTAGTAATATGTATAAAGAGAAGTTAAAGACTGTAAGTAGCTTCCATCTAACACAGAAGAATAAATAGGTCTTTGTGACCATTTGTATTTCTAAAGCAGGCAAGTGAATCTCTTCTTCAATGTAAAATCCTCATACAATGAAAGTTATTCTCTTATACCTCCCAGGACTGAATCTGTGAGTTGGTGTCCTGTTTCATTGGACTGAAACTGATATGGTCATTGATTTTCTGCTTTGCGCTGAATACTTTGCCAGAAGTTGGGTGGCGGGAGTGTGTCCCCAAGTTTGAGATTGATTGGAGTCAGTGGAAAAGTTAATACTGATGGGAAAGAGGATTGATGTTAAGACTCAGGTTTGGCTTCTTTCAAAAATCATCTTCAATTTTATGTCTGTAGTGACTCACATACAGGGTGAGCTTTTGACTAGTTTTAAGATTTATCAAAGGCACATTCCTTGTGTGGTGTCAGGAAGGCATGCCCTCGTAGCATTGTCATTGAACTCAGAGATTACAGGTGAACACTGCTGCTTGTAACGTTTATGTTAACTTGAGTCAAGGGAGAAGAACTTGGGTGTTGTGAACTTCGAAGGATCCATCCAGCCTCTCAAAATACTCGTGTTGAATTTTCCCATTGAAAGAAAGAATAGTAGAGTCCTGGGTAAAGAGGACAATGTACCATAAGCTCTAGTCTCAAAGGAAGAACGCATCCTTCTGTCTTGGACGGGGTGGGGTTTGTGTTGTGGGCGGGACAAGCCCTTTTTAATGTCCTAGTGTGGACTATTCTCTGTAACAGTTCTTTATGTGTCGCTAGGTATGTTCTACTGGTTGGATCTCTTGTCAGGTGTTTTCATTGTTCTCCTGATGATTAAGGCTCAACATACTTTTTAAAAGAAACAAATGAGCTGCCTTGATTTTTACCCTTAGATATGGCTCTGTACATCTCTGTAGAGAGTCTACAGATAAAAAATTGGAGTGTTAGAATCAGAACAAGACACTGATGTTCCGTTATCCCTCGTTCTGCTGGGTCTACTGGTGGAATCTGAAGTTGGGCTCAGAGTGGGCAATTTTTCAACAGTCCTCTTTCCCAAATGTAAATTCCATCATCATCTTGATCATGATGGTCTTTACTCCTGGGAAAGGGAGTTTAAATAAGAGAGAGAGAGAGGAAGGGAGACCCAGAATTTTGAATAGTTTCTTTGCTTTAGTCACCATCTGGAGAGTCCTGATTGATTAGCTTTGGCCTCACCATTAAGTGTCAATGTAATCAATGGGAATGACTAGGCCAGGGTCATTACATGGATAGTATGTGCCTGCTGTGTAAATAAAAATGAAATTGTTTAAATTTTGTGAGCGAGAAAGAAAGTGAAAATAAGGAATGACAATTTGTTTGTTAGAGAAAGTGGAGGCCATTGGAATGACAGTTTTTGGAAGTGTGGAGCAGTTTGGCTAAGAATAGGAATGAAGGATATTTTTTTTCCAGTTTATCATAGCCAGCGTGAGGAAGTGTTATTCTCTGCCTTGCTTGCATACACTGCCAATAGTGCCTACTTTTCGTATGTAAACATCGGGGAAGAGAAGTGGATGTCTGTTACCTGAAGGAGATTTTTATTTTTTCTTTAAGGAAAAACACAATTTACACTTTTTTGTTGTTGTTGTTTCTCTTGGCAGGTAAAACAGAAAGGGGCTCCTACCCATCTTATGGGAGAGAATCGAATTTACAGGGTTGCCACCAGGTAAGTGAGAATCTCTTTGGAGAAGGGTTGAGAGGATGAGCCTTGGTGAATCAGTGTGTTTTGTAAATCAGGTGATGCATTTGAGGCTGGGGCACTGAGGCACCGAAAATCTTCGGATGCCTGACTCTTTTGCAAAGTAATGAAATAGCACCGAGCGCGGAAGTCATAAACACCTCATCGTATCAGCACTGTATTCACTGGCTTGTTGTTATTTTTTTTCATCCATCAGCCGGTACCAGTGGCACTGTTTGCAAACCAGCGATGTCGGGGAAAGTGGTTCTATCAAAAGAGTTTATTTGCAATTAAGAACTTGAGAATTTCTTACACTGCAAATGCTTCGTGAAGCCATGTGTCAGATCCTGGGTTTTGGGTGGCTACTGCCCTAAATTATAGTTTTCATAGGGGCTGTAGGATGTTGTGTGAAAACAGGGTTGTATTGAGGGATAAAAATGTCTGTGAAAATATGATTTGTTGTCCCTTTTTGTTTCTGAATTGTTTTTGGCTGAAAGTCAAGGCCAGCAGGCTAACAGCAAAGCCGTCTCAAGGGAGGCATGCGTGAGCTAGAAAAATAAGAGTACTTTAATTAAATAATAAAATGCCAGTGTCATACAAAGGTATAGTGTGTGTGTGTGTGTCTCTGGGCTTTGTGCATTTGCATACTTTCAACTCTCCAGAGAAAGCCCAGTTCTAAAAATACTATCCATAGCCAAAAGTGTAAGCTTTGTTTCAAGACAATTGAGTTTTTATAGATGCTTTGTTTTTAATTTCAGTATCGGTACTAATCACATGTTTCATATCTTTTTCGCCTTGAAAGATTTAACTTTCTTTTTTTAAGGGCATTGCTTTCTTACTTTGGAAAACTCTTGATGGAATTTAATGGTTCTCTTTCAGATTCAAAGCTTTCTAGTGTTACATTATTCACCCAAACAGAAATGTACATTCTTTTTGTGTTGGGAGGGGAATGCTTCTTCTCCTGAACCCTCTCACTCTCTTGCCCTCCCGTTTTCTTTAATGATGGTGGGGGGGGGGGGGGAATTACATTTGGTTTTTTTTTTTAAACAACCTGTTTCACAGATCCTGGAAAATGTAAGCAGTCAGTTTTAGTCATTAAATAGAGGCTGCTTGAGGAGGTGGCCTTTAGGTATCCGTCATAGGTTCCGAAAGGTGGAATTCTGGTGGAGTCCTGTGTGTTTTGGTTTTTTTCCCTTCCTTCTGGAGAGATTTGCATTTTTAAAGTTTACTTCTTTGGCCCAGCCACCCGTTCAGTCCTCCTCGGCATCTGAGAGGTTTGCTGTGATGAGGTGAACGGTGCTGGTTTAAGATCTCCCTGCTGCACACGCTGCCTCGTACAGTTGACGGCAGTTTGTTTGGAAAGAATTCTGCAGGAAAGAAATTTACAGCCGTTCCAGCGCGACGGAAACATCTTTGGAATGTGAGTGCAAATGTGCCGGGGTAGATAGCTCGGGCAGAGAGCCTCGAAGCGGAGCCTCTGGTGTAAAGCTCTCAGTTCCCGCAGAAGAGCCTGTTCCTGTGTATCTGGTTTCTGAGGGTCAAAGCAGAGGTCGTTTGAGTTTTGGGGAGAAGAAAGTTGACAACATCCTTCCTTTTCGCAGATGGTCATGGCAGAGGTCTCTGTTTTCGCCCGGCCTCTTTTTCTGGTCAACGAGAGAATAGACTTCCTCGCCCCTGTATCCTTTCTTCCTAATAGGAATTGGCGTGATTCCTCCCAGACACAAAGATTTCCTCTGCTGAGTAAGCGCGAGGCCCCTTAACTTGTGAAAGCGTCACTCAGACCGCGTGAGTCTGTCAGTGTGTGTGTGCCGGGACACAGACCCTCCCTCGGTTTGTGGGCAGTACTGCCCTCGGGTGCGACTGAAGTTCGTTTTTTTGGGCAAACGCAAGGTGAGAAGTGGCAAGGGGCAGAGGGTGGATCAGAGGTGGACAGACTGGTGTGTGATGGCTGAATGTCTGGCCTGGGGAATGTCTCCTTCTGAGACGTTCGTGTCCAGGAGAATTCTGTTGTATATAGGAGCGCGGCTGCATCTGCTTTTCTTAAGAAAGTCTTCATAATCTATCCGTGGAGTGTGGAGATTTCTTTCATTCTGATTTCTGCTTCCTGGTTGTGAGTCTCGCAAGGACCGACTCTCTCTGTTCAGCTTGGGCTCAGCAGTGGCCATAAACGGTGTTGATCACTTAAGGAGAAAGCAAAGAGCACAATTTTGGAAATTCCCCAATTGAGGAAATTGGGGTTGGAGAGGGAGAGGGGGGCATATTTATGAATTTCTGCTTTTGGTGAAATTTGAGAATAGAACAGACCCTAGTGTGTCTTCCGGTGAAAATGAGTTTCTCTTGAGCCGAATTGCTTTTTGAATTCCTGTTCTCCAACACCAGCTATGCAAACCCCAAAGAAAGGCAGACTCTCCGTGTCTTGGGCTTCAAGTCTAAATAGCAGATCACAGCTGAAACGATTCCCCACTGTGTGGCAAGGTGAGTGACTCGTGGAGAGAGAGTTTGTTGTTCTCTCCTGCTTCCTACCTTAGAGAGGTGCTGGATGGAAATCCTTTAACTGATATGCCCCGAGGAGCTCCCCAAACTGCTTTGTCGTATTATAACCCTGCATCCTGTGGACTTACTGGGATAAGCACTATTATAGATGAACATACTTATTCAGTTCCAGTAGCCTTTTGTTTGGTCACCCTGTGGACTTACAGAAATAACCCCTGATATAGATAGATGAACATCCTTCAGTTCTGGTAGCCTTTTGTTTTGTGCAGAGAAATAGCAGTGGTAAGCAACAGGTAGCCAAATGCTGTCTTGGAGAAATAAATCATTATTATTTTGAGATGTGTGTTGTTTCAGAATGCATCAGGTTAATATGTATATGTTTATGTATATATATGTATATGTATATATCCGTTATGTGTCTCTTGAGGATGTACCACTGACAGTGATAGACATGGGACTTTTAAAAAGTGGGTGTTTTAGCCGAGACACAAAAGCTGGCAGGTTCTTTATTAGCGATTAAATTGTTTTCATTAAAAATAGTAGTGGGATAATATGAATTCATGAATGCATTTTCACTGAAAATGATCAGAAATGAAGCCAGTAACTTTTTCAGCCTTTTGAAATTGTACAAAACATAAACCCATAGAAACCAAAGCGGCCAAATGGACTTTTTTTAGTTCTCACTAAATATGGCAAAACTAATTTCAATCAAATTGGGGTACGGAAATTACACCCAGGCTTAAAATGTTTTTGCCAAATTGCAACCTCATACTACTTTTTTTTTAACTGAAAGAGAAAATGTAATTTATAATGGAAAGTCTGACAGAAACGAAATGAGAGGAAGTAAAGTTGTTTGCAGGATAGTCTGATCTTCATACGATAGCCTATAGCTAGTACCTAATGGACATCACTGTGCATGACGAAAGGAAAAAAATGTCATTTGCTTTCGGCTTATTTTGTTGCTTTGAATAGGATGTTTGGTGATTGCAAACCTTTTTTTTTTTTTTTTTTAAATCTTCCTGAGATCTTTTTTTTAATGAGGTGGTGATGTCAACACAAATACTTGTTACTAAGGCAGAGGTTATCCCCTTAAATGGAAGTGGGGCATTAATTATCAGGAAGCGTTTGTCTTGTCTTTCTAGGAGATAGCCCAAGTCTAAAGCGATGGTTTTATTATTAATATCTTCTGGCAAGATTGTGTGTGTGTGTGTGTGTGTATGTGTATAATATAAGGAAAGCTGAGCCCTATCTGAGACCAATTAAACTCGCATCTTCTAAGCTGGGCCTTTGCGTTTCTGACAACTCCCCAGGTGATTCTAATGTGCAGCTAACTCTGATGATTTCCTAGAATGTTCTGTAGGAATCTACTGTGTTTAAAAGATTTGTGTTCAAAATCTAGTGTAGCTGCTGACCCTAACAAAGCTTTTAGATTTGTTGCCTTAATTTAATTATTCAAGACATGGGATTGTATTGCATATGTACTTTATTTAAAAGGCAGTGAAAATGAGGGGTATTCTGAACACCAGGAAGATGCCTTGAAATCTTCATACAAAATCCCACAACTGAATATGCGAGCCTGTATCTTGTTTTCTCTAGTGAAGCCCAAGGCTCTAACCTTATCCACATTCTTTTTCTTTCTCAGCAGGTAATCAAATAGCACTATGCCGATAAAGTTATTTGATGTTTAGTTCTTAAAACCGATGGGATTTAAGAATTAGGCCTAATCTTAGATCCTTTTGTTAAGTTCCAGAAACTTTGCAGCTGTAGAAAACATGGGTCTTCTCTGTATGTGATTTAGCTTGCTCATAAAGAGTCGTTTTAGATTCACTGAAATTAAATGTACATATTATACATTTCCTTTCAGTTCTTTTTATTTTTGATACATAAAGAATCACAGTAAAAATGGAAAGGATATACACAGAAAAGACATGAGATCCTTTATCTCTTCTTATGAAAATGGCTTTTAGGTCCTATGCAAGCAGAAATACATCTTGGTTTTTAACTTTACATTATGGTTAAATGTTTGGTTATAGCCTGCCCTCATCTGTACCTGGTTCTCTGCACCCTTCCTAGGAACCTCTTCCATCCATGAGCACCATCTTGGTACTCAGCTTTGCCTTCATGGTGCTTTTCGAATGTGCCATTATTGATGTTTGTGGAATGGTGGTTTCTACCAGATTCTGTAAACTCCTGAAGTTAGGGGCCAGGTTGGCTCCATCCGGCCCAGTGTGAACTCTGTATCTGGCAGGGTGGGGATTGTGATGGCCTGAGGCTTATTTCCCGGCATCACTTTGGGGATCATTTTGAGAAGGTGAAGTCTGAATAGTCCTGTGTGAGAACCATATAGTGAGCAGCGTTTTCCTGCTTCAGAAAACCAGAAATCATACCCTCTCAAAGAAGGTATGGGGCTCTTTTGGGAGCCCTTCCTTCGACCATGCTGTGCAAACTCTGGAATGACATAGAAGGTCAGATCCTGCAGAGTCACTTGCCACTCA